CCGTGGGCTGCTGAGGGAAGTTTTTGGAAGGTGTGGTTTCATTGAAAAGATGCTGAACAACGTCTTCAAGCCGAAGGTGAACTCAGTTTTTCCGCAAAGGATGCAGCTGTCGTCGGAATTCACGAGCACCCGCCCCAAAGTCCGACTTGCTCGTTGCAGTTCCTGCATGTCATGTTTTTTCAACCTGCTTCGGTGTTGCTGTCGAGTTTGTCTTTATTGATGATGCAGACATGCGTGGAAATACCTTCTGTGCTGCAGGCGACGAAGCAAGGGCATAGTTCAGCATGGACATATACACATATACTTTGGCAGGAGGAAGAGGCATTTCTGAGATGTTGCGACAATGAGTTTGATTTCTATCAAGTCACATGACCCGTACTAACTCTTGATTTTGATGCAATAGGTGCGCTTAGGTTGGAGTTTACCGCACGTACGGTGCTGTGCATGGGTGTCGTAAGATCTTGCTATACGATTATCTGTGTACGTCCCAAAAGACTACGCTAAACCAGCTTGGAAACACAGTGTGCCTCTGCTGCCTGCTTGATGCAAGAGCAACTACTTGCAGTCACACTCTGCATCCTGGTGCCTGCAGACAGACAGACATCCAGCAATTCCACAAGCTGCTCCGATGTAGCGATGGCATTGAGCCCCATGGAGCTGGAGGAGCTCCAGGCCAAGATCAACAATCTGGCCTCGACGCTTGTTGGTGAGCCGCCCAAGACTCGCAGCCGCAGCCGCGATCGAGAGCGAACCTGGGATCGGGATCGCCGGAAAAGTCGATCTCGCTCGCGAAGGGATGGCCCTGGCACCCTTCCCCGGCGCTATGAAAGTGGTGAAGTCGTTCTGCGAGAACGTGAAGACCGACGGGATCGGGATCGGGATCGCACCCGAGACCGGGACCGAGACCGGGATCGGGACCGGAGCGATGGGTGGCGACGTGACCGTGCCAGCCGTGAGCCCCGAGACCGCAACCGCGATTCGCGGAGCAGGCAAACTATGAGTTGTTCGTTTTGGTGCTGTGTCTTTTGCCTCGTCGCCGTCAGTCTCTGCCTCTTCTGAGACCATGTGCGCATGTCCGTCCCTGTGTCCGTGTCTCCGTGTGTGCGCGTCTGTGGGGCTGTTCCATCTTGGGCTGCCTTCAAAGGCGGCCACCTTCCCGAGAACGCAAACGAGCACGGGAAGGCTGAACTGTAACTTTGTCAAGCTGAGCTTGTAAAATAGATCAAGCATGGCATGTTTGGAAGTAAGACGTTGCAACAGACAGTAGACAGATTGCTGCTGATACAACACACACACACACCCGTGCACATACACACACACACATATATATATATATTCATACACATATGTGCATGTGTGTGCGTTTGTACCTACCTACCTACCTACCTACCTACCTACCTACCCACCTGCCTGCCTGCCTGCCTGCCTGCCTGCCTGCCTGCCTGCCTGCCTGCCTGCTTGCCTACCTGCCTGTATGTATGTATGTATGTACGTACGTATGTATGTATGTATGTATGTGTAAACATGCATACTGCTTTGTGAATGCGTGTGTATATGAATGTATGTGTGTATATACATACATACATACCTACGTACGTACATACATACATACATACATACATAGACACATGCTGTATAAACACATACCCATGATAGACTACACTGTCATGTATATACTTGTGCATGTGAATACATGCTTGCATTATGCAAGACAGGCACGCCCTCATGTACACTTTGTCGAGGAACTCTGCTAGACAGCAGGCGGACGAATTGTGACACGGGAGAGTTGGATATTTTCAGGAAGACCAAAACCCTGAACCCTAAGGCCTAGCATACTTTCTTGTTTATCCGCAGATGCAGCCGAGCGCTACTCACGGCGAAGCCGCAGCCGGCGGAGAGGAGGCACAGGCAGGGGTTTTGGGGGTTGCAAGTGTGTTGCAGTCTAGGGCAGAGGGAATCCGTCCATCTTTCAGCCATCTGTTCACTATGATGCGTGGCAAGATGTGATACCACGACAATGTGATAATGCACAAAGTTTGATCTAGGGATACATAGCCAAAAGCATGAGTATATATATATATATATACAGATGCGTGTATGTGTATGTGTATATATATATATTCATCTTTATATCCATACAAATATAGTATGTATATATGTGTATATGTACATATGTATATATGTATATATGTATATATGTATGTATGTATGTATGTATGTATGTATGTATATATGTATATGTATGTATCTATGTATGTATTTGTATGTATATATGTATACAGGTAAACAAGTAACAATAAATAAATGAGTAAAAAAATAAATAGACATATATATATATACATATGCATGTACATATGCACTTAGGTATATGTGTATAGTATGTATGTACGTGTGTATGTATGTATGTATGTATGTATGTATGTATGTATGTAGGCATGTATATGTGTATGTATGCATATCTATGTGTATGTATATATATATACATATGTATACATGTATATATATATGTATACATATGTCTATATGTGTATATATGTATTTATGTATATGTGTATATATATATAACACATACTTATGCATACATGTGTATATATATATATGTGTATCTATGAATATGCATCTATGTAGGCATATATCCTGCATGTGAACAAAGCTAAAGCATGGGCATGAATCGCTCGCAGAAGTTGTGAACGTTTGAGCGAAGGTCTTCTCCCAAGCAAGAGGCTTTGTCAATTTTGTTCATTTTGTTTCAGCTTTTGCAGGGTTTCAGGTTGAAGCTTTACTTGCAGCTTGGCATTGGCAAAGTAAGAACAACTTGCCATCAAGACTGTTCTGGTGACATGTTTTGGCTCGTTGAGAAGAGAGACATGGCACGGGCGGCAATTTGAAGAGCGGCCGGCAACAGATTTAGCAGCTGCAGCTGACGAGGAAATTTCTCCGATGTCCCACCGCCGACATCGCTTGCCGGGGCGAGTGAAGGCAGAGGGCCCAGATTGCCATCTTCAGTACAGGCTCTGCAGGTCAATGTCGGACTTACGTTTCTTCGTGGCTAAGATGCAAAGTGCAGAGATGCGCAGGTCCTGCTGCATCTGCTGCTCCGGGGCGCGACAAGGCGATCCCTGGTCCTCTTCTCTCTCCCTCTCTCGCTCGCTGTGGAGTTCAATTGGCCGCAGCCCAGTTACTCAGTTCCAAAGAGGAGTTTTGTGCAGATTGCTTCGTTTCTTCCGGCCAGGGGGCGAGGTGACCAGGCGGTAGATGTGCACAAATGTCCAAATCGAACATGTAGCTCTGTTTTGTATTTCGGTCACCGCAGGTGATCGGAGGCCAGTGGAGCGGGGCCGGGAGTCAGGTGCTCGCTTGGAGTTGCAAGGAACCTTTGGGGTCGCGCCTTTTTGTTCGTCATCTCTTCTTGAACTAACGCCAACGAGAGGCGAACGTCAAAGCGAGCTTTGGTGTGCAGCCTGTTGATACCGGAAGCGAAACCTCTTGCAGATAGTTCCAGAGTCCACTGCCGATTTGCCAGGTTCTGTTCTGCCTACCCGCACACCTTCCCGGGCATCGAGTGGTGAGGTACCGACATGCCTTGTCCGGTCCCGATCGCAATAATGGCTTTGACATGCAGCACCGGCAATCTTTCGGAAGCCACGTTCTTGTGCTTAGCTTGAAGGATTTTCGGCGAGCTGCGCAGCCAGCACAAGCCATAGGCCGGGCGGACCCTGCGCAGAAGCCATCGACACGTAGAACCCACTGAGGTTCAGTGGCTTTGTAAGTCTCTTGAGAAGAGCGTCTTTCCAAACCGCAATTGGTTGAACTTGCAAGACTCTGGCAGGTGCAAAGACGAGCGCACCCATAGGTCGGTGGTGTCAGTCAAATTCCGGGCTTCGGAATGCACAAACGAGGTGTGACGGTTTTGGACGATACTCGCCGTGGCTTCGACTTCTTAGCTTCTGATCCTTCAGGCTTCGCATCTTTGCTCTATTTGGCAGCATCGCCGAGTATCATCGTTGCTGGGTTTCTTGCAGCTGCCCTGCTTTTGGCTGGGTCAGGCATTGACACACAAGGGACTCTAGGGTTCGTTATTCGCTGTCAGGGCCTTCCTTGCGTCTGTGGAAGAACTTGAAAGTTGCGGTCCGGGTTTCAGCTTTACAATGTTTCGTGACTGATTCATGCAAGGGGCCTTCGTGATCTGCGCATATGGGATTTCATTGGCTGTGATTGAGTCTCAAGGATGGGATTTGGTTCGTTCGGAACCCGAGGCAATCTTGCGAATCACCTGGGGCTTCTGCTCCGTAAAGCACACCACTCGTGCGCATTGATTGGAGTGCACGGCAAGCCAGGTGCCAGCACCGCCAGCTCGTCAAGCCAGAACGGTTTCAAGGGTAGCCCGCCCGACAAGGCCAGCGTCTCACGCAGCTTTAGGCAGCGGCCTGGTACAGTGACATGCAATGACCGAGGCCAAGCCCGCCAGCTCTTCCAATGCGGAGAGTGGAGGCCGCTAGCTGCGCCTGTGTCTGGAGATGTGCGGAAGCTCGGGACAGGCGGCCACCGGTAGTTCCCGCAAACAGGCAACCATACGGTAATGGGCCCTGCTTGCATTCCGGTATACACCACCTTCATTCGTGGCTCGGAGAAGCCAGGTCCATTCTCCCCACACCAACCGCCGAGTGAGCTCAGAGCATGTAGAGTCCATCGACTCCTTGTTGCGGCTACAGGTGTCAGTGCCACTGCTCGTGCCGGTTCGGAGGAGCTGGGTGGGCACGGGGTCTGCATGAAGAGTTCAGCGTGCGGAGAATTTCTTCCAGGATCATGTGTGCAACTTGCATGGTGTAGTGGTTGGCATTGTATTTCTGTATGAAAGGGTGCAATCTGTGTTCGGCGCCTTCGGAAAGAACTTAGCAAAGGGGCAGTGACGGCTGCAAGCGAGCTTCTTTTCCTTGGTCAGCTGGTTCAGCTGTCTCTGGCTGTCTCTCCTCTCTTCTCCCACACTTCGCCCCGAGCTCATGGCCGCTTCGAGCTCTCAAGATCCGCAGCCAACGTGGCCGAACTATCCAGAGGCCTCTTTAGGGGTTGTGTGGGCTCACGGCTATGTCAAGAACCGCCTGCCCAGATGGTGGACTGCATGGTCTGCGGAGAGAAGGGTGTCGCCAAGCGACGTCCCGGCTATCGGATGACTTGCGCGGACTGCACCAAGTGCCAGGCCTGTGGTGGAAGTGGAAACATGTTCCTAGCTTCGAAGACGATCTTGGGAGCAGAGCAACCCACTTCTTGTCCTCTCATTTCCTTCGGCTCTGCGTTCGGAATTGGCTAGGCAAGGACATCAACCGGAGTTTAGAAAATCTCTATGGCAGGGCCGCTTCTGCGTGACATGCCGGGGACCATGGTTCGAGCCGTGGCTGCAAAATGTTGAAACTTATCCCACTTTTTGGGAAGGACGGTATTGGGCTTCGCTTGTAGGACGGCCAGGCAATCTAGCCGAGGAGACCCACAGCTGCAAAAAGTTCATCGACGAATTCGAGCTCTTCAAAGACTTGGAGTGGTTCTTTCGAAAGTGGCTCGTCTGGGTTTCAAGTGGCCTTCTGGGCGAGTGTGACCATCCGTTCAAGAGGAACGCGGTTGCCGCAGATCGCAGCTGAGATAAGACTAGAGCCCAGCTTTCGATGACCAGAAACCTTTCAAGCCTTCATCAAGTGGACGAACTGACTGAATACACAAGCTTGCAGGGGCGAACAGATCGACGATTTCCGCGAAAATCTCCAGCCGCCTCTAGACCGATTCGGGTTCAAAGTTCGAGGGGAGGCCCACTTCAACTTCGATAGCATGGAAAGGGTGGAAGATTGGGCCCGGCACATGTAGGCAAGGAATGGGCCACACCTCAACAAGACCCAGGTTTGGCTACAAGATGTGCCCTGGATGCTTCCAACCAGTCATCAAGGACAACGAGGACGACTGTGACCACATCTACTGTGGCGCCCTGTCTGCCATCCAGTGCAATGTGGTTTTACACTGCGGCCCCTCCCAAGGCTTCTCCAAAGAGAGAGACTTTCTCATTCAGAGAAGAAGAACAAGAGGGAGAGGGAGCAAAAAAATCAGGCGGAACCTTTCAACATGTCATGCAGGTCGTGACGCGGTACCCTGACCAGGTCAAACCTATCTTTGTAATGTACCTTGGGTAGCTGCCCGTTCCCGGTGTTGGACCTCAAAATGCTGAGAAGTGGGGGGCTAGATGTATCTAAATAGTCATGGTCCACTACGAACCCAATGTTGCACAAACGGGGGAATCTGTGAACACGAGTCCCCGCTTGTATCTCATGTCAGTGTGGTCTGTTAGCTATGGCAGCTTGTTGTTGCGTCGAGGGGGACAGAGACATGAGACTAAAACACCTTTACTTTCCGGCGTCCCAAAGCAGTGCTACAGAAACGGTTGGATTTGTCCCCGGGAAACACGTCAAACCTCGCCTCCTCAAAGCCCCATAACACATGGGGGGCCCTAGTGGCCGGGGGGCCTAAACCGCCTCCCATGCCCTGGCGAAGAAGAGAGAGTTTTTTGAAGAAGGCGAAAAAGGGGAGACCAAGACCAAGGAGCACGATGCCACGAAGCCGAAGGACCCAGACAAAACACCACACAACAAGACGTGACAGCGGCGGGGGACCAGGACCACGGAGTGGATGGGGAAGACAGCAACATGGACATCCAGCCGGAAATTGTGGCAAGCTCTTCTCGAGACGAAGGGGGAGCCATGCCAACGATAATGACGTGGTCCTCCCGGAAGTACCCTCGCGCGAGACCAACTGGCCCTGGGGGGAATCAGGCCGTCCTTCAGAAGGGGCAAGGAGACTTCAATCGCCGAGCCGCAGTCCACCAAGGAGGGGAGTACACCTCGAGTTCGGCCCTTTATGGCATGGAGTACAACAAGTGCGGAACGCTCGCAGAAAGTGAAGTACCAGAGTGAGAGGCACGCGGAAAATTCGGGGGGAGAGCGAACTCGTTGCATGTGAGAATGCGTCTTACTTACTTATCCAGGTTGCCGTCTACTGTACCATATCGTACTACCAGCGTTGTCATATCGTTCCTCGAGGTGTAAACTCTTTAAACAGGGTTGGGGGGAAAAAATCCATCTTCTCAGTCCTTCTCAGGTAAGCTCATTCCACCAGGCCCATACTGGCCTACAATCCTAGTTTCTTCTCAAAACCCCTCTCCGAGACGATCAGAAGAATTCGGGGGACTAGAAGGCCCAAGTTCGACATCATACGAACCTTTCTGAACCGGAAAAGACCATGTACGCTTTTCCTTCGACCCCCTTTTTCTTTCATTTCGAACCCACCCGTTGCCGCGGAACGCGGCAGATCGATTGCTAATTGGTCGCGGCCTTACTTGTCTTTTCTGGTTGCTACGTTACACTCGGCTGCTGCGTCCCCTGCCTGCGACAATCACCGTGGGGGATGTTTTCATTTCCTTGTAGAGCCGAGCCCCTTGTGGAGACAACCCATAGGGGGGCAAAGCGACACCCGAGACTTGCGGGTGCGCGTCCGCGCGCAGGGCACAGGGCTGGACCGCCCTGTGTCCTTGTCCCTGTAGAGAGAGAGAGAGAGAGAGACAGAGACGAAAGAAAGAGAGAGAAAGAGAGAGTTCTTTGGCTTTGTGGAATAAGAAGAGGGAGAGCGAGAGAGAGAGACGAGGCAGCCTGCCAGAAGAAGAAGAGACGAGGCAACCCGGCGTGCCGAATGGAATTCTGCTGGAAGTGCCTGGCAAATCGGAAGGTGATCGAGGTCCATGGCAATCATCACCACAAGCAGCTCTCATGCATTTCTTATGAAGCATTAGCATGGTTGGTTGTTGTCAGCAGTGTGGCTCAGTGTAGTTCGCTGCACGGGACAGCGGCACAAAATTGGCCGACAGAATAAGTCTGCGACGGCATGTCAGGCCGAAGTGCCCGTACTACTTCGAGTACGATGGCAAAGACCAGTACATGCCTGACAAGTGTGGCCCGGCCTTAAAATCTGCATGTAAAGTGTGAAGCGTGACCCGTCATCCTGACCAGTTGTCGACCTTTTCGGCTACGGCTCCAGTTCATGTCCAGCCGTACAGCGTGCCTGAGGCGAGGTCTGCAAGAAGTCGGAGCCTCAGCGAAGATGACGCTTGCGACAGAGAGAACTGTCAGACAGGAAAACGGGCACTCAGACGCAGGTATGGGCGCTGTTGCATAACCCCGCTGGCGTATTCGAAGATGAGCAAAGCCCAACGAGAAGGTGCAGTCATACCAGTACGGCCTTTGTTTGACGTCTTGATGAACGTTTTTCGGTGTTGCCGATGTTCCAGAATGCCTGCCCTAGCACCTCGAGCTTTTCATATGCCTCAAACGTCCTGGTAGCAGGTTATCCTGCAGAGGGTTGGACAGCTTACGCTGTCCGAAAGGAAAAGGAGATGGAGGCAGAAGGGTTGCAACTTTGGAATCGGTTTAATATCGCAACTTGGGGAGAGCGCCGTCGAAATCATAAACATCTTTCGACATCTCCAGATCCTAGCAGGCTCACGGCGGTGCTTCATGCATCGCAGCCAGCCACTATTAGTAACTAACGGGCAATGTGTGTCAGATCTTTCGGTCGTCGCTCATAGCCAAGAGTAGACGCTTAAAATGCTTAGATATATGCCAGGCCCCAAACTTTAATTAGCCGAGTAGACCACTTATGTCATGTGGAGCTAGGTTCTTGGAAAGACAGACGCATGAATGGCTGAAAGTCGTAGCAAAACCGGCGCTTGCTGGCCCTCGGATGAGTGGTGATGCCGTGGCAAGAAAAACGGATATCGGCCCCGGATGAGTGCCTACCCCTTTCTAATGACACACTTGCCGGCCCTTGAATACATGGTTACGTATGCCTCCAGAACAAGGCAGTTATTGGCCCCTGGATAAGGGCCGATTTCTCCCCCAACAGTCATTGTAGTGTGACGCACCTGGTGCATCCGTCTGTCTGCCTTTCTTCTGTTTGTCAGTCTGTTAGTCAGTTAATCGTTGTGTCTGCCTGGTTCATCTATTTTGCTAGGTCTATGGTATGCAGGTATGCATGTACGAACATGATGTATTTACGTGTGTGCGTGTGTATGTTTACTCGCAAGCCTGCATTCATCTTGTTTGTTTGTTTCTCTGTGTCTGGCTTTTCGTTATTGTGCTTGTCGCTTGCTGGTGTATGTCTTTCTCTTCCACTGTCACCCATGCCGTCTCGGTTTGCTTCCCCTTTCTCCTTAGTTGTTCGTGGTACATGTATCTAGTGTGTAACAAGCAGTGCCCAGGAGAAGAAGAAGGAGAGGGAGCGCCGCAGGCAACGGCGCGAGGAACGGAGGCAGCGGCTGGAGGAGGCTCAGGCGCCAGTCAGGGTTTCACGCTCCTAAGGCACTCATTCCCGTTGTTTCTTTGCCTTCCGCATTTTTCGAAGTGTGTCTGCGACACTGCTGAGGAAGCAGGCATCTTCGCATTTGTGCAGCGCCTGTTCACCCCGAGTGATGCTCCTGAGTCAGGCTAGAATCGGCTAGAACTCCCTAGCTCTTCACACTGTGCTGGATGCACACTTCTCTGGTAGATCGATGCCATGCTTGATAGTGTGACACGGTCACAACCTTGCTTTGCATGTCCGTGCAATTTTCCCACCCGAAGCTAATCTGCAGAAGCAGAGCTCCACCGGGTGCTTCGAGCTTTTGCATTTCGCAGCTATCAACTGTCTTTGGCGGGTTTGCCGATCAAGCCTTTGCTCGTTGATCCTCGCTGGAATTTCGATCGGGTGAAGCCGCTTAAGAAAGGGACGGTGGTGTTGTTGTAGCTAAGGCATTCCAGAAACGATGAAGTCTTATAACGTTGCAGTTGCGAACTGCCTGAATGCGATCCGCGGCCATGATTGCGTAGCTTCCTCCAGAGTTCTGGACAAGTGTTTCCAGCCTTGGTGCTCGCCCGGGTGGGAGCACCGCGGCCGGTGCCAACTTTAATTACGTTTTGTAGGTGTTAGCTGTGTCACGGCGCATGCATGCACTTGCTGTGTCACAGATATGCGACGCCACCTTCAACAGTTCGGAGGACAGCGGGAAAATCTGCACATCGCATAGAACTATGTATGTTTATAAACCTATGCGTATGAATCGCTCTCTATTTTTGGTGTTGCCCCCCTCCCTCCCCTTCCCCCCTTCCCTTCCCCCCGAGCCGGCCTCAATCGTGCAGCCTAAACCCATATGCAGAATTGCTCGGAGACCTCAACCACCCAGCCATTCCAAATCTCGGAAGATACAGATCTATCTCTGTGTACGTGTGCACATATTGTGTATCGGCGTCCCTGCGGCAGAGAAAGAGGCAGGGAACCAGCTTTGAAACTTCAGACCGCCAGGGTCCTGCCGGGCCAACCGTCGAGATGGAGCAGAACGTTCAGGAAGGGCTCTTCCGAGGCGAATCCGCATTTTGCAAAAGTATCAAGGTAGCTTCGGGCCCCCTTTAAAATGACGTGGGGACATTCACGGCCGAAATGACGCACAAAGGTTTATCTTTTCGCTTTATGGCCTTGGTTAATGGCAAGCAAGAAGGGAGAAGGCAAGGGCATTGTAATTGCAGTTGCTATGCTGTCCCTTTTGTGCGTCACTGTTGCTCAGCAACGTCTTCTGCACCATCAGTCACAGATAGGTCATGCATTCCTGGCAGTGAGAAGCGATTTGCAGTCACGGGCCGCTGCTGGCATGGGGTTCACTATGGTTTCCTGGAAATTTACAGTAGTTCTGTTTTCAAAATCAATGTCGCATCGTTTCTGTTCCTCTACTACTGCCGACGTTGTGACTACTAGTACAAGAGCAGCATGACCCAGACAATTGGCCACTGCTAGTACATAAAAGATACGACTGGCCACTGCCGTTAGTAGTAGATGTTATCAGTCATCATCATCGTCATGATAATAACCATCATCATTGCTTAAGCCGCCACCGCCAGTATTACCACAAGCGGCCTCACCACGGTCATCCTCCACCCTCGTCTTCATGTCGTTATCACCATCGCCACCATCATCAGGTGGGTTCCAGCCACGGACTCGGTGGCTGTGTTCAGCTCTTCATGTATTTAACCGTCTGTCTGTCACATAGACTCATGAAAGCATCCATCCATCCATCCATCCATCCATCCATGCATGCATGCATGCATGCATGCATGCATGCATGCATGCATGCGTGCATGCACTCATTTATTCATACGTGTGTACACATAAAAGTACCTATATACAAATATATGTATATGTATGTGTGTATATATATATGTATGTATGTATGTATGTATGTATGTATGTATGTATGTATGTACGTCTGTCTAAGTACAGTCAAAATTATGACGGCAATGGTAATCATAGTAGTAAGAATAATAATGATACTAGCGAGACCTGTACTGATACTAATAAGGATATCCGTACGAACATTAGACATGGCAATAGGTTTAATACTACTACCGATCACAAAAGTATTAATAATTAAAGTGAGAAAACTAAGACTAAGTAGGAATAATAAGAATAGTACGAACAATAAGAGCTATACGAATAACAAGAATATGGCTAATGGTAAACAGCAATAAGGTGATGAAAGCTAATAAGCAACAAATCAACAGAGAGATAGATAGACGCATAGATACACAGATAGATAGATAGATAGATAGATGGATAGACTATCAATGAAGAAGTAAATAGACATAAAATAGAAACAGCTAACTAAGTGAGTAAGCAAGTAAATGAACAAAGAAGTCAATATAAATAAATACATGAAAAATACACAAATATATTTACACACTCGTTCACATGTACATGTATATGACAGTACTTGCAAGCGCCCAGCTCTGCTCCAGCCTCGCTTCGGCGGCCTTTGCCTGCAAGCGCTCGCTGCGAGCGGCTCCTCTGGGGCCCCTGGCAGCGGAATCCCCGGCAGGCGCCCGCATTTTTTCGCCGAGCAGAGCTTGAGATGCTGACATGCCGAAGCAGATGGGAGCTTAAGAGGCATGTAGCAAGGGAAGACAAGAGTGCAACTCCGACCTTCCGCAACTCCGACCTTCCGGCACATGGATCATTTTGGAAGAACACAAGGGCCTATTGATGACTGCTGTTTCAGAGCACGTTTCTGATCTCAGAGAGTTTGACAATAGCCTGGCATGATCGCGATGCTGTAGTCGATGGCGTTGATTACCAAGCCGAGACGCAGAAGATGCCGTTTGATGGCAATGAGGGTGAAGCAGAGAGTGGTGAATGTCAATGCGAATATGATGAATACGATGAATGTGATGAGTTTGATGATGATGATGATGACGATGATGATGGCCACCACGACGACATGCTGATGTTGAGGGCATCGAGTTTGAAGAAGAATAATATGATGATGATGATGATGCTCGTGGTGATAATATGTTCTCTTTCGCTGGACTTGACGTCCGGAGAAGTTTCGGGCAGCTAGGGTCGGGATGGGGAAGTTCCACCGAAGCAGTGGGACCTCTGAAGTAGATGTGGTCCTGTTGGAGGTTCTCATTTAGGAGGTTCTGGTGATGTCGGGAGGGCTTTACAATGTTCCAGGAAGGATGCGGGGACTCTCTGCATGTTGGGAGAACGGTCCGAGTACTGCCCTCCTTTCCCACCATACACATGCAGAGCTCAGCATGGGAGCTCGGCTGGAGCTGAGCTTGGCCTGAGAGTATACGCATCTGCATAGATTGTTGAAAGAGACGAACATCTTAAGCAGATTATGAATACGCCAACTGAGTAAGAGAACCAACCCAGGTCACTTTCCGACAGGTCACAGGTTGCTGGGTACCACTGACTGCAGGGGAGTCGGACTGTTCTTGTGTTGGTTTCGGTGCCGTGATATTCACCAATCTTGCGTTGTTCTATTCATGAAAGGGTGACTTGTATCCCCGGCTTAACATTCAAGTCTCGATTGTTTCAGCATTAAAGGTGGTTTTCTTGCGCAAGCAGTGTGGGCATCTTCTACTTAAGCACTTTTGTGACTCGATACCTGAAGAATGAGAAGCCCGTCAAGTCATATGTTGCAGCCCCAAACTCCGGATGCACAGCCCGAAGCCTTCGAAGAGCCAGGCATCTCAGGATGGAGAACAGCTCATGGAGGCTGTTCGAGGAGTAGAGTGGTCCTCAGTGGCCGTGTTCAGAAGCTTTTTGGCTTCCTCGTTTTGTGGGCTGAAAATTTACGGGTTGACGGCGAGTGAGACGGGGAGGGAGGGAGGGGAGGGGCCCGATCTCAAAGCCCCCAAACTCCTCGGAACAGTGTGATCTTCACATAGAAAGGGGCCAGGGCTGCAAGAAGTGCGGGAGTTTCAATGTACAAAACTGGTGCAACCATAGGACAAAATTGAACGTCTCGTCCTGGATAACCAGATATCAGCGTGGCACAGTACCATGCACTTGGCAGAGCATGAGAGCCGACGCGCGTTCAATTGACGGGTCTTCCCTCGCTCTCCCGAGGAAGCCTCTGCCATGGTGGGGATTCTCCTCGAGGCAGTAGGGTGCCCATCTTGATGCTTGCAGTCTCTTCAGCCTCAAAAGCATTTCTTGTAGCTCTCTGCCGAGGCCAGGACTCTGCATCTCAACCAACCTCTGGAGGCTTGGCAGCGCAACAACGGAGAGGGTGTGGCACTTGAGTATTCCGAGGGGCTGCTCTGAACTGGTTGATACTCCTCGAATCCGAGAACTGGAAGATGCACTCGCAGTTTTGGATTTCAGGCTAGCTTCTGGTTTGCTAGATTAGTGCTGCCCAGTGCGGTTGACTAGCAGCAGACACCAACTAACTCTGTGTGCTCTGGCTAAACCCGGCCGGCTCTGTTGGTATTAAGCGGTCAGCACAAGGGTGTCTTACAAGACTATGTAAAACAAGAAAGTAGAAGAGACAGTGTTGCCAGCAGTGTTGTCGAGTCTGCTCTTGCCTGATGGTCTTGCGTGATGGCCGGCACTCATTGTCAAAAGATCTACTGGTAGCAGTCAGCGTCAAAGCCGCAAAATCATAGCACCATAGCTTGTACGCAACCACATGGGCATGCCTTGAACATGACATAGCACGACTTCAGCAGCCACGAAGGCTACGCCACGTCTCCCTTCCCAAAGGTTTGCGAAGTTGAGTCGATGTTCCGTTGGCTTCCGGTGGCCCAAGAGGAGAGTGGTTGGGCTTTTCACAGTTTTGGGTTGCAAGGTGCACGAAGCCTGGGGTGGAACAAGTAAGTGTAGGGCTTTTCAGCAAAGGTCTCCTTGCCCCGGTTGCGGTGAAGGCTCCCCGGGCACAATGTTCGTTTGACCTTGCGGCCTGGGGTCCTGGACAAGCAGACTCCTCGGAATGGGACAGCGACCTTGCAAGTCGCAATGCTGCGCATTTTTGATGCTGCAGAAGAAGAGTTGGCTCAGGTGTCCCTGGACGATGTCTGGAACATTAAGACGGTGAAGCAGCAGTTGCAGAAGCTGCATGGGCTCTCTGTATTCCGGCAGCAGCTCCTGCGGGATGGCAGTAGCCTGGAGGACGACGA